ACCTTGTCTCTACAATAAATCAAAAATTACCCAGGTATGGTAGCGCGTCTGTAGTTTCATCTACTTGGAAGGCTGAGGTGAAAGGGTTGCCAGAGCCCAGCAGGTCGATGCTGGGGTGGCCATGAGTGTGCCACGCTCTCCAGCTTGGGTGACAGAGACTCCAGCTGGAAAAAAAAAAATATATATATAACATAGGCAGACAAGTTACATGCATATAGCTCAGCAGTGTTCCTGAGCAGACACTCACATAGTCAGCACCCAGATGAAAGAGCCGCCCCATCTCCTGTGTCACATTCCCTCCTCAGTCCCCTCCCTAGTCATATATAAAACCAACTAAGCCGCCCCTTGACAGGGACATGCACCTGTGCCTGAACTCTCTGCAGATGGCACCCCACAGGATGTACACTTATGTGTCTTGCAGGCCTCCATACCATATGTTTGATGATGCTCCCCACACAGGGCATGACCCCACCCAACTGTCCTGCTCACCTGCTGATGGAAGTATGGGTAGTTCTCAAGCTTCTGGTTCATGTGGTTTTGGTGAAAACATGTGTTATACGTGGCAGGTTGGGTATCCAGTTTGATCATTGAAATGTGAGTTTGTCCCTGCCATGTGACTCAGGGATTTGCTTTGTTTCCTCTTAACTTTTGTATTTATATATGTGTGTGTCTTTTCATTTTTGTACTATCTTAACTCTGTTTTTTCTTGTACTTTTGTGATGGGTATGACTGTTCTTTTTTTCTGTATTCAGGATCTTCCTAAGCATTTCCTGAAGTGTTGGACTGGAGGTACCATATTCTCTTAGTGATTGGATGTCTGAGAAGGATTTTAATTCTCTATCACTGATGAAGCTTAGCTTTGCAGGGTTAGGAATTTCTTGGTTGGAATTGCTTATGTTTAAGAGCACTAACATTTGTACTTCAGTCCCTTCTGGCTTGTAATGTTTCTGTATATAAGTCTGGAGCAATTCTGATGGGTCTTTTCCACTAGGTAGTCTGACCTTTCTCTTTCACTGTCTTTAGGATTTTTTCTTCCATGCTTACTTTGTGGAGGTAGATTGCTGTGTGTCTAGGGTTTGGTCTTCTCCTGTGATACCTTCTGGGGGTTGTCTGAATCTCCTGTGCTTGAATGGTCACATCTGTGGTGAGATGAGGAAACTTTTCTTGGATGACCTCATGGAATGCTTGTTCCATGGTGTTCTCCATTTATCTTTCTGCTTCAGGGATACCAATCAGGCATAGATTTGGCTTCTTGATATAGTTCCACATCTCTTGGAGGTTTTGCAAGGACCTTTTGAATTTTTTCCTCTTTTTTCTTTTTTTTTAATTGGAGTCTCACTGTTGCCCAGGCTGGAGTGCAGTGGCATACTTACAGCCATTTCAGTGTTGACCTGCTGGGCTCAGGTGATCCTTTCGCCTCAGGTTTCCAACTAGCCGGAACTGCAGGTGTACACTACTATGCTCGGCGAATTTTTTGATTTATTGTACAGATGAGGTCTCGCCAAGTTGCCCAGGCTATTCTCGAACCTGTGGGCTCAGGCAGTATTCTCACCTTGGCCTCCCAAAGTGCTGGGTTTACAGGCTTGGGTCACTGAGCCTGACCTTCCCTATGTTTTTAACAGGTTGGTTTAATTCTATATTTTGGTCTTCAAGCTCTGAGATTCTTTGCTTGGTTGATTTTGTTCTCTGTGCTTGTTACTTTATTTATTTCAAGAATGGAGTTCTTTATTTGCATTATTTCAGAATAATGCATTTTTTTTTTTTTGAGTTGGAGTCTCACTCTGTTGCCCAGACTGGAGTGCAGTGGCCGCTCCCGGCCACCGCAGCCTCAACCTGCTGGGGCTCCGGTGATCCTTCCAACTCAGCCTTTCAAGTAGCTGGAATTACAGGTGCATGCTACCACGACTGGCTAATTTTTTGATTTATTGTAGAGATGAGGTCTCACCAATTTGCCGAGGTGGGTCTCGAACCCGCGGGCTCAGGCAATCCACTCACCTCAGCCTCCCAAGGCACGGGATTACAGGCTGAGCCACTGAGCCCGACTAGAATAGGTATTTTTTAAATTGGCCAACTCAGCTGTTACTTCCTGTACAATTTCATTGAGTTTTGCTCCTTGCTCTCTTAGTTTCTGTTTATTTTTGCCATCCCATCTCCAATATCTGACTGTAATCTGTGGCAGGTCATTCTGGGGCATTTCCATTGTTTGTGATCTGATGGCTGTTTTTTTGGGTGTTGTTTCTTTAGGACTCTGAGAGTTACCTGTGTTTTTCTGCTGATTTTTCCTATTTGTGACAGGCCCGTTTTCCTTTTCTATAATTTTCTTCATGTTCCACCCTGTGGCAGGTTTCTGTTATTGTAGGTTCTGTCTGCTGTTACTCCACTAATCAAACCAGTTTTCAACCTCTGTTGCATGTGATCAATGACTGAGAGGAGATAAACTTACTTTTCTTAGAATCGTTCATCTCATTCCTTCACTGGCTGGCACTTTATTTTAAATTTTGAAGATGTGGGGTACAATTCAGGATTAGGTATACAAGTGGACATCGTACAGGTAAAGTTTGGGCCTCACTTTGGTCCCCACTTTGCCTGGTTTGAGGTCAGGTACCCTTGTTAATGTTGTGTCCCCACCCTCACCCCAGCAGTATCCTGTTACTGCCAATCTCTTTCTTAGAGTATTATGGTAATTGTTCAAGGTCAGTTTGTGAGTGAGAACATGTGGTACTCTGTTCTTTGTTTCTGTGATAGATCATTGAGTATGATAGACTCTAAATCCATCCGAGTTGCTGTGAAGTCCATGTTTGTCCTTTATGGCTGTGTAGTGTTCCACTGTGTATATGTACCACACTTTTTTTATCCAGTCCAGTTTCAGTGGGTAGCACTGTTGGTTCCATGTTTTTGCTATTGTGAATAGTGCTGCAGTAAACATATGTGTGCAGATAATCTTTTTTGTAAAATGATTGACTTCCTCCGGGTATATTCCCAGTAGTGGGATTGCTGGGTCATATGGAAGGTCAATATCTGGTTTTTTCAGAAATCACCACACTGTTTTCCAAAGAGGTTGCACTAGTTTGCATTCCCACTAGCAGTTTAGAAGCATTTCTTTTTCTCCACATCCTCGTCAGCATCTGTTGTTGTTTGTTTTATTAATGGCTGGCCATTCTTACTGGGGTTAGGTGGTATCTCAGTATAGTTTTGGTTTGCATTTCTTTGATGGTTAGTGAGGCTGAGCACTTAGAATTGTTCACCTAACTCCTTCCCTGGGTGACACTTCAGTTCCTGTACTAGCCTGGTGCACAGCAGGGGTTGGGTGCCCAGATTCTCATGCCTGCCGGTGCTTTCTGGTCTCTGTGTACAAGGGGATCCTTGCGAGGTGCAGGGTGTTTTGGCAGCTGGGTCCCTGCTTGGAGGCAGCGATTGAAATCACCAAGTCCCTATTACCATGACCTTGGTCTAGTGTAGGAGACAAAATAGATAGGGCCATCGGTGGGGTGCAGGAAGGGGAAATGCTGGAGTGTGGAGAGGTGGAGTGTGTCCAACCTGCTTGTTCTTTCTAAGGATGTTTCATAGAAACTGTGGCCTGAGGGATGGGCAGGAGCCAGCTGAGGAAGAGCTGGAAGACCAACCTGAAGCCTGGCCAGCATGCAGTGGTCCAAGGGCCCAGGTGGTGGTCTGAGGTGTGTCTGGAGTATGGAGGCACAGGGCCAGCCAGGGTGAGACAGGAGAGATGTGAGGTTAGTGTATGAGGTGCTTCTGAGCTGGTCCAAAAGGAAGAGGGGGACCATGGCTTTTCCCCAAAGAATGGATGTGGGTCATGGATGTTTTACAACAGTCTGCCTGGTTCAGTTGTGGGGTGTATGGTAGTATGGAATTGAGAGACTGTTCCTGAATGTGGTGGTGAAAACTGAGGATTGTGTGGTGGTTGCTAAGCTGGGTGGCATGGGGGAGGACTGGGGAAGGCAGGAAGGCCACTGCAGCTCCCTGCTCCCTCCGCAGAGGCCTGGCGCCATGCTCATCGAGTCTGCTTATCCACACCCTCTGCAATGACAAGTGCTTTGGCGTTCACACAGTTACTTTCTGTTTGAACCTTTTCCCCAACGAATATCTATTCTTTTAGTCCCAGGTCAAATGCCCCCATGTCTGTAAAGCCTTATTCAAAACTAGAAGTGTCTGAATCCCAAAGTAGCTTTTTGTATCTCTTTTATGGCATCATTCTACAAACATGCTTTTTTTCTTTACCTTAAGACCTCTCTGACCCCAGCCTCCCTCTAGCTCCTGTCCCATAGTCTTCTGGCCTATGTTTCAAATATATCAGTCCTTGCAATCAAAACAAATAATTCTTAAGCCTCTGCTGTTTGCAAGAAACTGTTATAAGGACAGAGAAGTTAGTGATGAATAAAACATGACTTGTGTACAATGGCAGTAATCATGTGATTGGAGACAGCCACACAGATAACTGATGCCAGTGAGGCTGGGATAAGTGTCTCATCGTTGTGTGACTGTTTTGTCTTCTCTTTTAAGTAATGTGTTTACTTAGGGCAAAGATCATATTTGTAATTACTATAATAACTTGGTATGTACTATGAATAAATGCCTGGGAGTATTAGGGGGGAAATAATGTTTGGCCCTGAACAAATTATTTAATTTAATCCTCCAAACAATCCTACAATAAGATTTATACTATTCCTTTTACAAATAACAAAATTGAGGCTCTGAGAGATTATGTAACAGTTTATAAGTTATGAGTTGGAATTTAAACCCATGTTTTTGTTATTGCAGATTTTCTTCCTATTTTCCACAATGTTTACTGTGCGTCAGTAATAACTTGCAGCTCTCTAGCTGGAGCAAATGTTGGAATATGTTCCTGCTGAATTCACAAGACTGGGGGTTCATATAGACGCCAGTCTGTCTGAAATAAATCTGTTAGTTGTAAAGGCATTGGTAAAGTGTCAGCTGATACTGTTACTATAATTCTTAACAGAGACTTCTTTTTATTTCCCCAGATCCTCAAACTTCAAGAGAGATTTTTGATTTTGCACTCAAGGCAATTCGTCCTCAGGTAGGAGCAATACCACTCTAGTTCTTTTACAGTGGAGACTTGGGATTTTCAAACATTAATGGTGAATTTTTTTTCTAAAATAGATTGATCTGAAGAGATACGCTGTGCCTTCAGGTAAGATTCTGTATTTAATAAGGTAATTAGATTACTAAATTAATTTATCTGAAATAAGATTTTGATTAAACTGTGACTGAAAGTAGATTTGATAACATCTGTGGTGTTTCACCGCTGTTTACAGGGAGGCTTTGGGGAACATAGTAAACGCTGGTTGAGATGGTCATACTTAGGTTACATGATTAAAATAAAAATTATTTTAGGTCCTTTTTCACTGGAGTCTGGCCATTTGATTCTGACTTTGCCTAAAGAAATCCTAATCCCACTTCTGTCCTTTGTTTTGGGATTTGTCAGCCTGGCTGATACAGTAGGAGGCTAGCAGCATGAGAGCACTGATGCAGATCCCTGGGTCAGTGTAGGGTAACGATACTAGGTCCTCATACACATCCGTACCTGTAGCTTTCTTAGTTCTTTGTTCTGGCTTATCCTGGCTTATTTTAAATATAATGGTTTTTGTATTTGCAGCTGGCTTACGCTTATTTGCCCTGCATGCATCTCAATTTAGCACCTGCCTTCTGGACAACTACATCGCTCTATTTGACGTGCTGTCAAAGTGGTGTAGCCATGCAAATATAGAATTGAAAAAAGCTGCACATTCAGCCTTGGAATCTTTTCTGAAACAGGTACTGCACATTCAACTGTCATTTTAAAATATTTTTTCTACACAAATAATTCAATTCCAGTCTTATGCATGTTTATCTGAAAAAAAAATGCAAGTCGGTCATTGGCTTCTGTAGTATTTAAAGCAGAAAGCTATTATTGATTGGCTAGTTTCATTGGAGGCAGCCAAACTGAAAGAGAACTAGGGAGATGCTAGATTTGAGTCCCTCAGCGCCAGGATCAAGGTGAGTTTACTGGAGCAAAGATGTGGTAGTGAGGCGGTGGCAGGAAGGGCCAGGAAGTTAGGGCTCCTGAGAGCTGGCGGGTGAGGGGGGGATGGTGTGGGGAGGGGTTGGGTGAGGCGTCCCACCTCCCAGGAAGTGAGGGCCAGCTGTCACAGAAGATAGATCCTTGTGCGCCAGATTATCTCAAGAACAGGGAGAGCCTCTTTGCCACTGTAGGTTTCCCGTCTGGGTAGGATGTGGTTGCAGAATTTGAGCCTGTACCTTTAGAAGCTTGTCTGGGTTGGCTGAAGAGAATGTGCTTGTGGTTCTGAGCACTGGCCTCGAGGGTGTCCCGAGCATCCAGAGGTAGACTGCTAAGGCCTGCAGTTCAGGCTCGGCTCCAAGGAGCTAGACTGCTTAGGTTGGCTCTGAGGGAAAGCACTGGAGATGCACAACACAAGTTTTGTTAGAAGCAGTGATGTGAAAGGGTAAAACGGGCTTGGCCCTGGAAACCAGTGCGCATTGTGGAACAGACGGTATTGGCCAGAGATCTTCTGCCCCGGATGTGCAGGAGGGAGAGGAGATGGAATGCACTGCCACTCTTCCTTTTCGGGGTCTGGGTCCGCCTCCGCCTCCCACCAACGCTGAAGTAGGTACTTTACGTCTTTGGCCCTGGCCTCGCCCCCCTGTCCCCCTCACCTTAGCAGCCCCTGCTCTTCTCAGCCTTCCCACTAGGGTTGTCATCTCCTTCGAGTTATTCTTGGTTTTAAAGTTGTCTCTTCTTCCTGGTCCTCCTCATAAAAACTCCTGTTCAACTTCAATCAGCTGGTCTTATTTGTTAAGGCAAATAAAAGTTTGAGGAGTCCTTTTTTCTGATTGACACACATTTTTTTTTCCTTTTTTTGAGTCAGAGCCTTCTTAGTCTGTTGCCCAGGCTGGAATGCAGTGGCACGATCTCAGGTTACTGCAGCCTTGACTTGCTGGGCTCAGGAGAGCCTACTACCTCAGCCTCCCAAGTCCCTGGAAGTATAGGTGTGCACCACCATACCTGGCTAATTTTTTGATCTCTTGTAGAGACAAGATCTCATAAGTTGCCCAGGCTGGTCTTGAACCCCTGTGCTCAGGCAGTCCTCTCATCTCCCCCTGCCAAAGTGCTGGGATTGCAGGTGTGAGTCACTGTCTGTCTTGACTGATACAAATATATTTAGATCTCAGTAAACATTTGCTCCAAAAAACCTCTTGAGAGAATTTTATGCTTTATTAGTAAGGTGAGCAACAGTGTCTAGAACTTATGCAGAGGGATCATACCAGGTGGCCATCTCTGAGACCTTGTTCCCTAGACTCCTGTCTTTCCTAGCACAGAGGACAGGTGGGGCATGGACCTGCGGGGCTGATTGTCAGCCTTCCCTGGACTGGTTGTACTTAATGGGCCATGCAGATCGTCTACCTTGCTAGATAAGTTAATTTCAGAATCCTGTTCCAATCTTTAATTAAAACTAGATTGAGTAGATACTATTCAGAGTTTCATTGAGGTAATTCTGTCTACTACTCTATAATATGTGAGAAAGTTAAGAGTTTACATAACTGAGAAGTTTGAGGGATAGTCCCTTCAATGCTGCCCTAATTGCTAACTCCTGATGCAAGTTTGGGAGTTTCCAGAGCCACTCTCAAATTTGCTGATTTCCTAGAAGGACTCAGAACTCAAAGTTGTTACAGTTTATTACAGCTGAAGGACACATAAAAATCAACCAAAGCAAGAAGCACATAGTGCCAAAAAAGTGCTACACATAGTGCTCTCATTGTCCCCTCCCTGTGGAGTCAGGACAGCGTTCCTTTCCCAGTATCAGTGTGTGACAGCACCGGGTAATATTCATTGGCATATTGCTCACAGAGTGCCTCCCAGTCTCTGGGTCCCAGATACCACCTACCCAAAGCCCCCATCCCAAGTCACGTTGTTGCTATGCTGTGTGAACAGCCCCCACACTAAATTACCTTATTAGATCATCCAGTATGACCTGAGGCCCTCTGGCAGGGAGAGACACCCCCACCAGGCAGAACATGCCAGGGGCTTGGAGATTACCTCCCAGAAGCCAAGGCAAAGGCCAGACCTCTTTCTGTGCAGGGTTAAATTCTTTACTATACAATAGATATTGCAGATTGTATCCTTGAATTTGGTCAGAGTATTAGAAAGTCCTGTGGACTGGACTGTCTTGCCCTCTTTTGTGACTTTTAAAACTAGAGTGCTCTGTTGACTTCCATGATATCTTCAAATAGTCATGTGGAACTTTGTGTAGATTTATTTTAAAGCTTTTATTGTTTATTGTGCTCCCTTTATGAAGTTTCTTACATTTCTTACTGCTAGGAAAAAACAGACTTTTTTTTCTCGTACAGATGTTGGCATAATCTGTGTCTTATAATCTTCTCTTTGTTCTGGTTGCCGAGAAGTTCAGAGTTCAGCAATTATGCATGCATTATCTTAAAACCAGCTTTATTGAGCTATATGACATATAGCAGCATGCACATGGTTTAAGTTTACACTTTGATTTGATAATATACATACCTCTGTGGTCACTACATTCTAGCATAGAATATCTCCATCACTGCAGAAGGTTCCCTTAGGCATTTTTGCATTATATCTTCATGCCCAGCTCCAGATAAAACAGTACTTTCTGTTGCTAGAAATGGGTTTTGCCTTTCCTTGAATTTTATGTGAATCTTATAGTATGTTCTTTCATGGTTAACTTGTTTTGCTCTGCTAATGTTTTTGAGAGTTTTCCATGTTGCAGAATGTGTAAATAATTCATTTATTTTTATTGCTGCATATTATTCTGTTGTATGGATATATCACGGTTTGTTAATAGACATCTAGTTTTTTTCAGTTTGTGGCTGTTATAAATAAAACAGCCAAGTGTAGCTCAAGTGATTCTCCCACCTTGGTCCCCCAAAGTGCTGGGATTATAGGTGTGAGCCATTGCACCAGGTCTAGATATATGTTAAACTTCTTAAGAAACTACCAAACTCTTTTCCAAAGTGATGGCACTGTTTCACATTTCACCAGCAATGCACAAAAGATCTAGTTATCTCCCATCTTCATCAACCCTTGGTATTGTCAGTTTTTAATTTTAGCCAAAGTAATGAGTATATAGTTTTATTTTATTGTGGTTTTAAATTGGATTTCTGTGGTGATTGTTGATGTTGATTCTTTTTTCCTGTGGTTATTAGCTGTATTAGCTTATGTCTTGTTTTACAAATGATTCATTCTCATATTTTACTTATTTTGAAGTTAGGTTTGCATATCTTTTTATTAAAGAGTTTTCTACATACTCTAGGTACAAGTCCTTTTCTAAAAATGATACAAATAGTTTTTCTTCTGTGAATTGCCTTTTTGTTTTCTTAATAGCACCTTTCAGAGAGCCAGAGTTTTGAGTTTTGATGAAATCCTACATATTAGTTTTTAAATTTCATCCTCCTTTGTATGCCCTACATAAGCAATCCTTTGCCTATCCCACAGCTGCAGATTTTCTGACATGTTTTCTTTTTTCAAAAGACTAGGTGTTTATTTCTCATTCACATGAAGTACAAATGGATATTTTTGGAGCAGAGGTGGAAACATCTTTGTTCTCCAAATCAACCCCTTCTGCCTTAATTGACACTGACCTTCTCCCACCTGTGGCTTCCAAGGCCATCCAGGGGTTCATCTGCACTTCACTCCAAGAGGGTATGGGAAATCAGGGAGGAGTACATGGACCTTTTTTTGGGTTGCCAAGCCTGGAAGTCATGGTCATCACTTGTGTACGTATTCCTCGGAGCTGTTGCATGGTTCTCCCCACAATAATACAAGGCTGAGAAACGCAGGCTAAATGTATTTCCAGAGGAAAAGAGGATGGTTTTTGCAAAACTCTAATCAGTCTGTCATATAGGATTTCTTCTCTGTATGAGTTCTGTGATGTTTGTTGCAGTGTGATTTCTGGCAAAAGATTTTTTCACATTTATTACATTTATAGGATTTCTCTCCTGTGTGAATTCCCTGATGAACAGTGGAGAATGACTGATGGTTAAAAGGTTTTGTACATTCTTTACATTTATAGGGTTTCTCTCCTGTGTGAGTTTTCTGATGCCTTTTGAGGTTTGAATTCTGGGAAAAGGTTTTTCTACATTCATTACACAGATAGGGTTTTGACATGTTTTGTTTAGGGAGTTTTGTAGTTTACATTTTAGCATTTACATTTAGGTCTGTAATCTATTTTGAATTAATTTTTGTGTGTGGTGTAAAGTAAAGGTTGAAGTTTGCCTTTCCCCCCGGTTTTTAGGTCCAGCACCATTTGTGGAAAAGACTTCTTTTCCCACTGGTTTGCCATGGCAACTTTGTTAAAAATCAGTTGACCATGTGTGTGTGGGCTTATTTCTGGACTCTGGGTTGTTCCATTCATCTTATATCTATTCTTAGATCAGTGCCTCATAGCTACTCTGGCTTTGTACTAAGTCTTGAGATTAAGTAGTGGATGTTCTCCAGCTTCTTTCTTTTGTGTTGTTATTTTGGCTATTTGATGTGCATTTTTTAATGTAAACATTACCTCTATGGGAACGTAGTTTTCCATTTTTCATTCAATAGCTTTATATAAAGTACTTAAGAAAAACATTGCAGGCTAATTGTATACAATGCAAAAAATGGACCAGGTGCAGTGGCTTGCATCAGTAATCCCAGGCCAAGGCTGGAGGATCACTTGAGCACAGGAGGTCGAGGCTGTGGTGAGCCATGACCATGCCACTGCACTCCACGCTGGGCGACAGAGTGAGATCCTGACTCAGAATAATAATAACAACACCTTAAAAAGAGTAGAAGAGTGCAAAGAAGACTATTAAAATCTGAAGTCCCACCACCTGGAAAAAACACATCACCTACCATGTTGCAGAGACTGCTCTCTTTTGCTTTCCCTCCCTCTCTCTGCTTCTCCTTTCTTTCCTTCTTCCTGAAGAGGAGAGAGGAAGTCCTGGGCTCAGGTGATCCTTCTACCTCAGCATCCGAAGTAGCTGGGACTATAGGCACGAGCCATCACACCCAGCTAAATTTTTGCTTTTTTTGTGGAGACAAGGTTTTGCTATGTTGCCCATGCAGGTCTTGAACTCCTGGGCTCAAGCAGTCTTCCTGCTTTGGTCTCCTAAAGTGCTGAGATTATAGGCGTGAGCCACTGCACCTGGCCAAGAGATATCTTTACATAACGGAGTATTAGTCAGAATTTTTTTGCCTCAAGATTTTTCACTGTGTTGGATGTATTTTCCTCACAGTATATTGAGATCTACATGGTTAATTTTCAGTAGCAGCATAATATATAATTATATTTACGGGCCATAATTTTTTTTTTTTTTTTTGAGTTGGAGTCTCACTCTGTCGCCCAGACTGGAGTGTAGAGGCTGCTCCCAGCCACTGCAGCCTCGACCTGCCGGGCTCCGGCGATCCTTCCGCCTCAGCCTTCCAAGTAGCCGGAATTACAGGCATGCGCTACCATGCCCGGCTGATTTTTTGATTTATTGTAGAGATGAGGTCTCGCCAAGTTGCCCGGGCGGGTCTCGAACCCGTGGACTCAGGCAATCCAGTCACCTCAGCCTCCCAAAGCGTGGGATTACAGGCTGAGCCACCGAGCCCGGCTGGGCCATAATGTTTTAATCTGTCCTATCTGTCCTCTATCCTCTACTGTTGGATATATCCATTATTTTCAAGTCATTACTGTTATATACAGGAAATAGTTGGATAAATATGCTTTAAAAGGATGTTTGCTGGGGCTAGGTGCAGTGGCTCAAGCCTGTAATCGCAACACTTTGGGAGGCTGAGGTGAGGGAATTGCCTGAGTCCACAGGTTCAAGAACAGCCTGGGCAACTTGGTGAGACTTTATCTCTACGCTAAATCAAAAAATTAGCTGGGCGTGGTAGCGTGTGCCTGTAGTTCCAGCTAGTTGAACATCTGAGGCTGAAGGATCACCTGAGCCTAGCAGGTCAATGCGGGGGTGGCCATGTCTATGCCACTGAACTCCAGCCTGTGCAATGAAGTGAGACTCCAACTCGAAAAAAAAAAAAGGATGTTTGCTGGAAATAAAATAATAGAAAATTAGCAGTGGCTTATGTGGTTACATATTATATGTACCAGTAAAAAGCTATTCTGTAACTAAGTAAGATGATGTTGTTTGCTTACTCTTTGAAAAACGTATTTGTGGTATGTTTTATGAAAAAAAATTATGAAGCAACATGTGTGATATGCCGTTCTAAAATAAATGGGAAACAATGTGCTTGGAAACACATAGTAAGGCCCAGTGGCTTCAGGTGTGATTGAGGAGTGTATTCATAGGTGGGCCAAAGTAGCGTAAGATTTTTTTTTTTTTTTTTGAGTTAGAGTCTCACTCTGTCGCCCAGACTAGAGTGCAGTGGCCGCTCCCAGCCACCACAGCCTCGACCTGCTGGGGCTCCAGGGATCCTTCTGCCTCAGCCTTCCACGTAGCTGGAACTACAGGCGCACGCTACCACACCCAGCTAATTTTTTGATTTATTGTAGAGACGAGGTCTCGCCAAGTTGCCTGGGCGGGTCTTGAACCCATGGGCTCAGGCAATCCACTCACCTCAGCCTCCCAAAGGCGGGGAATTACAGGCTGAGCCACCGAGCCCAGCGATTTTTTTTTTTTTAAATCTTCCTTCGATAATTATCTAGGTTCTTTCCATCTTATGCTGGATAGTCTTTGTGCCAAAGCTACGAATGCTCTTTTGAACGCCCATGTTAATTCTTGGATTTAGACTGTTTCCTCTTGTTTTGGTAAATAGTGATTTCTTTGCTTCTTAAAGTATATTTTCCCATGGCCCCAAGTAATTTAAGCTTTATCATTTGTGGCTTATTTTGTCAAAAACTAAGGTGCCTTGTTTTTGTATTTTTTCAGATTGTTAGGATTTAAAAAAAAAAAAAGACAAAAAAAATCTTACTCTACTTTTTTTTTTTTTTTGAGTTGGAGTCTCACTCCTTTGCCCAGGCTGGAGTGCAGTGGCATGCTCACGACCATCCTAGTGTCAAACTGCTGGGCTCCAGTGATCCTACTACCTCAGCCTTCTAAGTAGCCGGAACTACAGGCGCATGCTACCACACCTGGCTAATTTTTGATGTATTGTAGAGACGAGGTCTCACCAAGTTGCCCAGGCTGGTCTTGAAGCAGGCTCAGGCAATCCACTTGCCTCGGCCTCCCATAGTGCTGGGATAACAGGCTGAGCCACCAAGCCTGGCCTTTTATTTTTTTTAAGTTGGTGTCTCATTCTGTTGCCTAGGCTGGAGTGCAGTGGCGCTATCACAGCTACTGCAGCCTCAACCTGCTAGACTCAGGCAAACCTTCCACCTCAGTCTTCCCAGTAGCTGGCACTGTAGGTGTGCAGCTCCACACCTGGCTAATTTTTTGATTTTTTTGTAGAGACAAAGTTTTACTATGTTGCCCAGGCTGATCTCAAACTCTCAGGCTCAGGCAGTCCTCTTGTCCCACCTCCCAAAGTGCTGGGATTACAGGCATGAATTACCACACCTGATTGTTAGTTCTAAACTCTGTTGATGACTTCTGAAGTCACTGGTTGCCTGGCAGCTCTCATTTACCCTGTAGGTGACAGATGGGCTCTAAAGACTGCTTTCTACTTAATTTGGAAGCCTTATATAAACCCTAATTTTAAATTTTATTTGATTTTATTTTTGGGGGGCAGGATCTTCCTTTGTTGCCCAGGCTGGAGTGTAGTGGTAAGATCATAGCTCACTGCAGTCTTGAACTCCTGGGTTCAAGTGATCCTTCTGCCTCAGCTCCCAAGTAACTGGGACTATGGTTGTGCACCACTATGCCTGGGTAATTTAAAAAATTCTTTTAGAGATGAGTTCTCACTATGTTGTCCAGGGTAGTCTCAAAGTTATGGGCTCGGGCAGTTTTCCTGCTTTGACCTCCCAAAGCACTGGGATTATAGATGTGAGCCACTGCACCTGGCTGAAACCTGTCTTTTATGCAGACTTCTTGCATTTCACTGGTTTCTTTTAGTCCCTTCTCTAGGAGATATGCATCACATAGCCTTATTTAAGAGATTGTCTTTTCTGAACTTGATGGGACTAAGTAAAATTGAAGCAGAGTCTTTATGAGTAAAAGCAATTTTATTATGTAACAATTACTGCACGTTAGTAGTTTCTAAACATCCCTAACCTTTTCAGATTTTTTTTTTTTTTTGAATTGGAGTCTCACTCTGTCGCCCAGACTGGAGTGCAGTGGCCTCTCCCGGCCACCGCAGCCTCGACCTGCTGGGCTCCAGCCATTCTTCTGCCTCAGCCTTCTGAGTAGCCGGAATTATAGGCGCCTGCTACAATGCCCAGCTAAGTTTTTGATTTTATTGTAGAGATGAGGTCTCGCCTGCCCAGGCAGGTCTCGAACCCACGGGCTCAGGCAATCCAGTCACCTCAGCCTCCCAAAGGCGCGGGATTACAGGCTGAGCCATCGAGCTTGGCTACCTTTTCAGAATTGTATAGATTCCTTTGTTTTGCTATTCAATATTTCTAAAAAGTAAATCTTGTATAATTTCAGGTTTCTTCTATGGTGGCAAAAAATGCAGAAATGCATAAGAGTAAGCTGCAGTACTTTATGGAGCAGTTCTATGGAATCATCAGAAATGTGGATTCGAACAGCAAGGAGTTATCTATTGCTATCCGTGGATATGGACTTTTTGCAGGAGTATGGCAACTTGCTCTATCTTTTTGGTTTTACTTGAGTGTTTAAAGGAATGTAATTTGCTGCATTTTTGAATAGTATCTCATACTTGTAACAGTATAGTTTACCCATAAACAACATGGGTTTGAACTGCATGGGTCCACTTACATGCAGATATTTTTCAATATTGTGCAGATATATTCACCATATTGTGTGAATTGAAAACGCAGTGTTTACTGGATGCAAAACTCACGTGCATGGAGGACTGACTTGCAAGCATTACAGATTTACGGAACCTTGGGGGTCCCAGAGCCAACCCCTGTGTATGCCAAAGAATGACTGTATTACTGTCTTTTGTTTTTAACAGTGAAGGGTTTTTTCGGTGTCCACTATGTACTGAAATCCCTTATGTACGTTACCTCAAATTCTCATAACTCTCCTATGAGCTGAGTAGGACTCTTTATTACAGATAGGAAACTGCGACCCAGAGAAGTTAAGAAACTTATCGGGTACACACAGAATTGACAGAACTAAGACCTCCATTCAAGGCTGAAGACTCGAAACGCCATGTTTTCCCCTCTGTTCTATGCATCCCTTTATTTATAAAATAAAGTTGTAGCTGACTTCACTCAGTTTTAGAAAGCGAAGTTTGGCTGGACTTGGTGGCTTAACCTATTCTGAAAAGGTACAGCAGTCAGATCCTGGAGTAATCTACAATGGGTTCAGAAGTCTAAAGAAGCTGTTAAAAAGTCTGGGTAGCTGCATTAGCAAATTTGTGAGTAGAATAAGCTGGTGCTAGGTCGGGCATGGTGGCTCACGACTGTAATTCCAGCACTTTGGGAGGCTGAGACTAGAGGATTGCCTGAGCCCACAAGTTTGAGACCAGCCTGGGAAGCATGGCGAGTCCTCATCTCTACAATAAATAAAAAATTTAGTTGGGCGTGGTGGTGAGTGTCTACAGTTCCAGCTACTTCGAAGGATCACCGGAGCCCAGCAGATAGAGGCTGCAGTGGCCATGAGCATGCCACTGTACTTCAACCTAGGTGACAGAGTGAGACTCCAATTCAAAAAAGAATAAAAAGGAAAAAGACGGTGGTCAGCCTGGTGCAGTAGTGTGTTCCAGTTATGTGTTAGCTCCCAGTCCTTACTGTGTATGACCAGCCTCGGTGGACAGGAACTACCTCTCATCTGTCTTTTTTTTTTTGAGTTGGAGTCTTACTCTGTCACCGAGACGGGCAGCCTTACCCAGCTGGACTCAGGCGAATCTTCCACCTCAGCCTTCCAAGCTGGAACCATGGGTATGTGTCACCATACCTGGCCAATTTTTTGGTTTATTGTAGAGACAAGGTCTTGCCAAGTTGCCCAGGCTAGTCTCGAAACCCTTGGCTCAGGCATCCCTTTCGCCTCCACCTCCCAAAGTTCTGGAGCTATAGGTGTGAGCCACCGTGCCCAGCTTCATTTGTCTTTTATACTCACTGTCTCTACACAGTGCCTAGAACGTGACTGACAGCCAATAAATGCTTTTGTGTGAATAAATATGTATAACATTCAAATTGCTATAACAAGCATGTTTACAAGATATTAAATTTTGTATCTGTTTCTTCTCAATTAAAAAGGTAGTAAATTAGCGGGGCATGGTGGTATGCACTTGCAGTCCCAACTACTTGGGAGGCTGAGGCGAGAGGATCACTTGAGCCCAGGAGTTTGAGGCTTCAATGAATTGTGATTGTGCCATTGCACTCTAGCCTGGGTGACAGGCAAGACCATGTCTAGGAAAATTAAAAACATGTAAGAAAGCTTATTAATATTCAGGGTTTTTTTTTTTTTTTTTTTTAGTTGGAGTCTCACACTGTCACCAGGCTGGAGTACAATGTCATGATCACGGCCACCATAGCCTCGACCTGCCGGGCTCAGGCGATCCTTCTGTCTCAGCCCTCCAAGTGGCTGACACTACAGGCATGTGCTCCCATGCCTGGCTAATTTTTTTATTTATTGTAGAGAAGAGGCCTTGCTATGTTGCCCAGGCTGGTCTTGAACTACTGGACTCAGGCAGTCCTTTCTCCTCGGCTTCCCAGAGTGCTGGGATTATAGGTGTGAGCCACTTGGCCCGATATTTACTTGATAATCACATGGTTTAATGAGATACCTGTATTATTATTATTATTATTTTATTATTTTATTTTTTTAGTTGGAACCTCACTCCGTAGCCCAGGCTAGAGTGCAGTGACATGCTCATGGCCACCCCAGCATCAACGTGCTGGGTTCCGGCAATCCTACCTCAGCCTTCCAAGTAGCTGGAACAATAGGTGTGTGCTACCATGCCCGGCTAATTTTTTGATTTATTGTAGAGACAAGGTCTTGCCAAGCTGCCCGGGGTAGTCTCAAACCTGTGGGCTCAGGCAATCCATCCACTCGCCTCAGGCTCCCAAAGTGCTGGGATTACAGGCTGAGCCACCGAGCCTGGCCGACACCTATATTATTATTTTGACATTGATAAGATTGATAAAGACTTCTGTTCTGTTTTTCCTGCAGCCTTGCAAGGTTATAAATGCAAAAGATGTTGACTTCATGTATGTCGAGCTCATTCAGCGCTGTAAGCAGATGTTCCTAACCCAGACAGACACTGTTGAAGATCATGTTTACCAGATGCCAAGCTTCCTTCAATCTATTGGGAGTGTCTTGCTTTACCTTGACACAGTAAGTGAAGTCATCAAATTGAGCACAGTTTTAAGTACTTAATCTTATTTTCTTCAGATAATTTGAGAAGTCATTTAGTGCAGGCACCGTTGTGATCAACATGGCATTTTTAGTTATTATATTGTGTCAATAGAATTATCATGAAACTTTTTTTGTTATCCAGAACAGGAAGAAAAATATTTGTTACTTTTTCTGTGTTTCAAAAAGATAAAAGAATTGATATTTGGAGTAGAATTGCACCTTAAGACAATTTTATTATGATTTCTTTCTTTCTTTTTTTTAGACAGTTCACAGTAATATATGAGGGGGGACGCCCAAAGAAACTAGAATTATTTTTTGTAGGGTGGGTGCCCTGTAGTACAGGCTTCCTCTGCAGGGTAAGTGTTCTAGGAGCCTGTCAGCATTTGTGTACCAGGTAAGGTTGTTGTGAGAGACTGCGTTCAACTTCAGTGAATTTTTGTTGGTGATTCCTTCTGCCTCTGTCCATCTCATTATGGGTATTTGTAAGCTCACTTGCCTATACTGCTGAGTGTTCAGCAGTTTTGACCAAAAATTACTTGACCTCCCACCCTCCCTATTCACCCAATCTTGCCCCGAGTGACCTTTTTTTGTTTACCCGATGAAAAGAGTTGTCAAAGGGAAATGTTTTGCCCATGTGGAAGAGGTTAAACAAAAGACAGCAGAAGCACTAAAAAGTATTAAAATGAATGAGTTCAAAAACTTTTGAGCAGTGGGAAAAGAGCATCTCAACAGGTGTATTACATCAAACGGAGAGTACTTTGGAGGTGACTGGAGTTTAAATATGTGAGAATAAATAAACACTTGTTAATAAATAAATTTTGGTTATTTTTGGGCCCCCCCCATATTTTAAGTTTAGCAGATTAGGTAATTAATATGTGTCTAGTTCAGATATAGTTAATTTGTTTTTAATTTATCTAATATGTGTTTAATCCAGTTATAATTACTCTGGATATTTGTATTCTATATTTATTCTCTCCTCTAATTTTTAGTTTGCTCTCAATTTCTGGCAGGTTCCAGAGGTGTATACTCCAGTTCTTGAGCATCTCATGGTGGTACAGATAGACAGTTTCCCACAGTATAGTCCGAAAATGCAGTCAGTGTGTTGCAGAGCCCTAGTGAAAGTTTTCCTAGCCTTAGCGGCAAAAGGGCCAGTCCTGTGGAACTGCATTAGTACTGTGGGTAAGTTTGCAATTCTTGTTTTTAGGATGAATGATGAATTGTTAACATGTTATTTATATAGGTAAAGAAAATCTGGCGGCCAAATTCTTAGGTGTCTTTGATGCCTTTTGACAAACTCTTAAATTTTGGTGGACCAACTCTCTTCTTCTTTTACTTCTGAATCTTAATAGTTTAAAATTTAAAACTAAAGACATTAATGAACTTAGAAAGAAATTGGAAGATAAAGTTAGATTCCAGAAGACAATGACTATCATTTTTACTGAATATTTTGTTGCATTTTTCAGCATTTCCTCCATATTTGTTTTCATTTTCTTTTTTCAGTGCATCAGGGTTTAATCAGAATATGTTCTAAGCCAGTGATCCTTCAAAAGGTAAATTTTAAATCTTATACATACATTTTCTGATTCGGGGGTCTCACTGTCGCCCAGTATGTAGTGTGGTGGCACAATCATAGCTCACCACAGCCTTGACCTCCTGAGTTTAGACAATCCTGCTGCCTCACCTTCTCAGGTAACTGGGACTACAGGCGTGTACCGCCACATCTAGCTAATTTTTTGATCTTTTTTGTAGAGATGAGGTCTTGCTATGTTGCCCAGATTGGGCTCAAACTCCTAGGCTCAAGCAATCCTCCTGCCTCTGCCTCCCAAAGTCCACATCTGGGATTACAGATGTGAGCCTCTGTGCCTGGCCAAAATTGTACATTTTGAAAGTTAATCTTTTATCGCTGAAACTTAGAAATGTTGCTGAGGTTTTTGTCTGTAAATATGCAAATGTAGCCTTTCTTAATTACCCATGCCTTGCATTTTGAAAAGTGTAGGATATAATACCTTTCTATTTTGTTAGATGATTGCACTTCTCCTAAGGTATGAAACATCTTTAAATAACTTTACTATAATAGACATTTTTACCAAAAGGAAATGTTTTCCCTCTTGAAACTAGGACAAAGTGCTTAGGTGTATTATGAGAGGCACTTCTTAGTTCCTAGAAATTACAGGAAGTAGGATGAGACGAGAAATTGAACTATGTAAGAGAGTGAGATAAATGGTTTATAGTGTGTTTTGTGGCTATTGTGTTGAAATACTTTTGGTTGCGTCACAATTCTAGTCACTAAAAAGTCATACTCTTTCAACTTTCTTTTTATTATGCTTTCATAATTTGATGTCTTTCTCAATGTAATTATTTAGTCTCCTTCTTGTAGCTGTTTTAGCTTAGAAAATTCTGAAAATCAGCAAGTTCTGGCAGCACTACTACTTTGTGAATCTGTCAGTAAATACTGGCATGCACTGTCTTCCTGGCCAGGGTCCTGAGTCTGAATCTGAAGACCATCGTGTGTCGGGGGAAGTCAGAACTGGCAAATGGAAAGTGCCCACATACAAAGACTATGTGGATCTTTTCAGAAATCTTCTGAGCTGTGACCAGATGATGGTAAAATTTACTGTTTGAAAGCCATAAAAGTACCTCAGTTCTTCTTTTTATTCATCTCCATAGTTTTAGACTTAAGACTTATTTCAGAGTTACATTTTACTAACTTTCAAGAGATTTTAAAAAAAATGCACTTCAAGTAATAAAAAATTGAAACAGTATAAGTCAGGACAATTAAAGTGAGACTAGAAAAAAATTAATTGAAAGAAACACAAACATAGAACTCTTTGAACATTAATTAGTTGCTTTAGCTGAGTCCTCATTGTAGCTTTAAGTGGCAGTGCAGTTGTTGCCAAGTTGTTCTTTCTAACAAGTTCAGCCTTTTGGGTGTCAAAAAATATAACACTACTAATACCATGGGAAAGCTATTTTCTTTTTTATTTGTTAAAGATGAAGATAAGTTCCATAGATTTAGTAGGTATGAAAGAGATTGGTGCACAGCTGTTATTTTCATCACTATGACCAGAATAATGCCTCCTACCCAGTATGTTTCTAGCAGACTCTTTTTTTAAAGTGTCTGTTTTAACCCAGGGAGTGGCTAATATTTTAATACACACCTTGACCAAGCATAAATAGCGTAGGATAAATGATTTTGTCAGTAGATGATTCCTATCCTTTGAAAAATCTTAGGTATTTTTAGTTTTTTTCTTTTTTTTTTTTTGAGTTGAAGTCTCACTCTGTCACCCAGACTGGAGTGCAGTGGCTGCTCCCAGCCACCGCAGCCTCGACCCACTGGGCTCCGGCGATCCTTCCGCCTCAGCCTTCCAAGTAGCTGGCACTACAGGCACGCGCTACCACACCCGGCTCATTTTGATTGTAGAGATGAGGTCTCACCAAGTTGCCTAGACAAATCTCGAACCCGCGGGCTCAGGCAGTCCACTCACCTCAGCCTCCCAAAGGCGCGGGATTATAGGCTGAGCCACCGAGCCCGGCTTTTAGTTTTTCCTTACTGAAATAAAATAGTATAGCAGTTATTAGTAATTTTACCCAATTTTTTTTATATGTGATGTTTGGTATCCCTGTATTTTGAGGTTTAGTCCCATAAAATATTTGAGTGTAGGCAGGGAGATTGGCTTATAATTTTAGAATAGTAGAATAGCTTCACTTTTAAAGAAATGATAAGCCGGGCTCGGTGGCTCAGCCTGTAATCCTGCACCTTTGGGAGGCTGAGGTGAGTGAATTGCCTGAGTCCGCAGGTTCGAGACCACCTGGGCAGCGAAACCTCATCTCTACAATAAATAAAAAAAAAAAAATCAGCTGGGTGTGGTGGCTTTTACATGCCTGTAATTCTGGCTACTCGGAAGGCTGAGGCGGAAGGATCGCCGGAGCCCAGTTGGCCGAGGCTGCGGTGGCCAGGAGCGGCCACTGCACTCCAGTCTGGGCGACAGAGTGAGACTCCAACTCAAAAAAAAAAGAAATGATAGAGTCTACTTTTAAATCCATTCTGAGGATGGATTCATATGTATTTATCCATGTGTTTATATGCGTGCACATTTATTTACATCTGTACATAGCTATGTGTACATCTGCAAGTATGTCCAAAAACATAAAAGACATAGTGCCTATATTATACATGTGTGTTTTTGTGTATACACACACAAATTAATTGGGGTAAATGCTTTGACAAGGCTTTGCCTAAATCTTCTCATTCACTAATGTGTACAGAGTTAGTGTTTGTTACATGACTGGATAAGTTTTATTATCTAAGATGATATGGTCATAATAATTTAGGAAGGTCTCTAAATTTTGCACCTTGAAAATTTCCATCACTTTCTATAAACCTGTACATATACATCTATGTATATTAATGTTTGTAAAATAATCATACGTTTTTGTTACAAGATTTTGAAGTTCATTATTTTTCTTTATTTAAAGGATTCTATTATAGCTGATGAAGCATTTTTCTTTGTGAATTCATCCCTTCAAAGTCTGAAGCGTTTACTATATGATGAATTTGTAAAATCTGTTTTGAAGATTGTTGAGAAATTGGATCTTACGCTAGAAACACAGTCTTTTGAGGAACAACAGGTTAGACATTTTTGTCAATAATAATTTTGCATCATTTTCATACCAGTGTTTGCGTGTAAATATTCAGGGAAAAATAGGTATTCAGGAAAAATAGACATGTTAATAAGGTATTAAGGAAAATTGGTTTCTTCAGGATTATTATGTGTCATTGATATATTTCTATTGAACACAGCCTAATGTATAGTAAATGTTATCACTATATTGTTCAAAAAGTAATTTACATGTTTAATATATTAAAATTTTTTTGAAACAATTGTCTGCTAGACTTGTTTCTCATTCCTTAGCAATAGTAAAGAATAAAATAAATGTTATATTGTGTAGATGTGGGTTTTTGCAGCAAGATTGGGAAGCCTGTGGTTCTTGTTTATAGTTAAGGGGACTGCCAAGTTGGAATACATAGTGTTAAAAGTGATAGTGGAATATAGATCATAGGCAGAGAAAAAAAGAGTGTTTCTTCCTTTTTTCTATAACCAGTTTTCCTATCCTGAGTAAAATATAAGTCATGGCTTAAAGTTGCCAACTGCAGGCTGCCTTGTTTTTGTCTGAGGAGTTCGTAAGTAAGGCCTTGGCCCTTGGCTTTTTTTTTTTTTTTTTTGAGTCTAGGGTCTAACTCTGTCCTCTGTCACCTAGGCTGAAGTGCAGTGGCACAATCACAACTCACTGCAGCCTCAACCTCTAGAGCTCAGGTGACTCATCTGCCTCTGCCTCCCAGGTAACTGGGACTACAGGCACACATCTCTTCGTCCTGCTTATTTTTAAATTTTTTTGTAGAGATGAGGTCTTGGTATATTGTTCTGACTTGTCTCGAACTCCTAAGCTTTATTGCACTTATAATGTTCTATTTTTTTTATGCCAGATGATAGGAGCAGCCATGTGTGTTTTATTGCTTCCTGTATGTCTAAGATAATGTTATTTGAAAGTAAACCTGCCCAAAGGAACTTCCTGAAGCTTGGTTAGCCATCAAACCTGCATGTTAGAACCAGTGTCCATTGTCATTGCCGTCTTCAGTAGCTCTCATCCTCCTCTGCCCCCTGCCCTCCTGCTCTGCTCCAGCAGGTCGGCCACCACAAGTTGCCCTCCTAAATGCCTCTGGTCCCCAGCTCATCCTCCTTTATCACTGCCATCCCTACACTGGTATTTCTGACTGCTCGTTTGCCATCTGAATTCGAGTACACATTTGGACTTGGGAATAGAAACTTGGTGATACAAATGTAGCATGCTTAACACTGAACTCTGCACTTCCCAAATATCACATTTTTCGTTTGTCTTTCTTTTTACTGTTAATTATTCCTCCGTTTCTCAGTTTGAAATCTGCAAGTTATCTTTTAAAATTCTTATTGCTAGCTCCTTGAAGAAGTGCTCCCCGCCCTGGCAGTTTTGAGTTTGTCCCATTCCCTCATCACTTTCCATAAGTCCTTTTGTTTAACGTTTTCTGCGAGTCCCATCCTTCTTATGAGACTGAGTTCTTGAGGACCCGTCTCTATCTTTCTTACTTTTGCAGTCTTTCCTCATAGCATCAGGCCTTGACCCTGAAGTCAGTTGGAAAGTTAATTGTTAAGTGATACTGATTGAATGGTACAATGTTTATTTGGTACAATTAATCTTTAAGGATGGAGATGAGACTCCTGGTGTTTGGGTGATTCCGACTTCAGATCCAGTGGCTAACTTGCATCCTGCTAAACCTCAAGATTTTTCAGCTTTCATTAACCTGGTGGAATTTTGCAGGTATTTTTTACAATTCTCATTATTCAAGAGTAAACATAATAAGTTATTGGCTATAAGTGTCGGAAAATACCCTTATATATATGTAAGATATGAAGTGGTAAAATTACTTATATAGCCCTTTAAAATATATCTAAATATACCAGCTTAGAGTTATTACTTTTATATTATGAGTCTCTGGTAGAGGAAAATGGAATATAGATATACCTAAAAATTTATAATACCTAAAATTGTTATACAGTGGAATTGTAGTCCATAATTATGTCATTATGATTTTAAAGCTGAATAAAAATGAGCAATGTACAGTTTTCTACCTTAAGATTTTAATTTGTTTTTACAGACAGATTCTCCCTGAAAAACAAGTAGAATTTTTTGAACCATGGGTATACCCATTTGCATATGAATTAGTTTTGCAGTCTACACGGTCACCCCTCATCAGTGGTTTCTACAAATTGCTTTCTGTTGCAGTGAGAAATGCCAAGAAAATTAAATATTTTGAGGTGAATCTTTTTTGGAGAATATTGAATATTCTTGTGGTTTTTTTTTTTTTCCAGGATGCATTAACATATACAAATGTATTGTAAAATATGTAATTATGTCATATGTAGTTTTAAAGTCTAATTTTATTACATGTATTTTAAAAAATTCATATTTTTCAATTAGATGACACTTTTTAAAAGATAGTCTCATTTTCTGCCCTAATTCCCAAGCCCTGAATAATTGTGTAAGATTAGCAGGGCTTCTGAAAGTGCAGCATTGTGCATTACTTGGGAAATCTCAGTCCTTCTCCAGACTTACCTCATCAAAAACCCTGGTGGCAGGGCTCAGTGGTCTGTGCTACAAGCCATGCAGGAGATCCTGGTGCCTAGTAAAGATGACTGGATTAGCATCCTAAAGGCTCTGGTCAGTCACCTGAGAAGCCCGCCCCCCCCCCGCCCCCCCCCGTAACGGGATACGACAAAATGAGACAGGGAGGGGGAATAGACTTAGCTGTGCCCATTGGCTTTTGACCAGCCTTCCACCTTCACTCCTCCTGCTCTGTTTCTGACTGGCTTCTTCCTTGAAATATCCTCAGAGCCAACTCTGCCCTCTACACTAGACATTAATAAGAATGAAATACTCACCCGTCTGCAGACAGACTGGGAAGTACTGGGTTAGATGATAGGATCTCCTGATTCTTGTTCAGTGTATTCATTTGCTATTTTACTTGGCAGGGTGTCAGTCCCAAGAGTCTGAAACGTTCTCCTGAGGACCCAGAAAAGTATTCTTGCTTGGCTTTATTTGTAAAGTTTGGTAAAGAGGTAATCTTTAAGTGATTTTATCTTGGTGTTATCGTGGGCTATTTTTAAATGTGTGTGTATTGAGAAAATTCTAATGATCACAAATTGTCTAGTTATTTAAATATTGGTTTGCTAAATCTAGATTCCAGGTCTGGTCTAAAAGAAACTAACAGCAAATTATGCTTCAGAAATTCCTTGAGCTCTCTTAAAATAATTCAGTTGAGTGATGACAACTCAAAATTAAGTAGATTCTTTAGTTTTTCCATATAGTGGAAATTAAGCACTTTAGCAAATTAATTTTTCCAGGAGGTCATTGCTTACTTGCTAAGTGAATGTATTCATGTCAAATAAAGGCTGCATGCCAATTATTCATGCTTGAGAATAGGGTAAATATTTTAAATTTATTTTCAAATTGTAGGCTCTGTTTAGGTACACAGCACTGTCTTCTTTCTTGTTAAGGTATCAGTTAAAATGAAGCAATACAAAGATGAACTTCTGGCCTCCTGTTTGACCTTTCTTCTGTCTCTGCCCCATGACATCATTGAACTTGATGTTAGAGCCTACATTCCTGCATTGCAGGTAGGTGCGTTGTCATTAGCGGAGCCATCTCTTTGTCACTGCTGTATGTCCTGGAGCACATAAGAATACCATGATCTTACCCTGGCAATCACAGTGGGTGCTTGCCCAGCAGGTGTACCTAGTTCAGGTTCTGCTTCTGCCACTAAGCTTTGGAACTTGGGACACTTGACCTGGTGACTGTGAGCGTCCCTTGGAGGTTGATGCAAGAGTTAAATCTTGCATGTGTTGAAATTTTGCAGTATGCTGCCAGCCACAGAGACTGGTGCTGCATGTTTTCTTCATAATTGCCTGGGCTGTACTCATTTATCTGGTGTTCAAGCAATCATAGAAAGGTGTGTTAATTAGAAACCTCAATTAATTGGTGTTTTTTTTTCCTTTAAAACTTATAATCCCTGCATTTCAGTTGACCTTGTTTGTATTAACATATAGATGTCTTTCAAACTGGGCCTGAGCTATGCCCCACTGGCAGAAGTAGGCCTGAATGCTTTAGAAGAATGGTCAGTTTACATCCCCAAACATGTAATTCAGCCTTATTACAAAGACATTCTCCCCTGCCTTGATGGATACCTGAAGACATCAACCTTATCAGGTAAGATTTGGACGGTGTGTATTTGGGATGTGTTCTGTAATTAAAATGGCAGTGTGGGCCGGCTGCGGTGGCTCATATGTATATTCCCAGTACTTTGGGAGGTAGAGGTGAGAGGATTGCTTGAGCCCAGGGGTTTAAGACCAGCGTGGGCAACTTGGCGAGACCCTGTCTCTGCAATAAACCAAAAAGTTACCTCAGTGTGGTGGTGCATGCCTATAGTTCCAGGTATTTGGAAGACTGAGGTAGAAGAATCCCCTGAGCCCAGCAGGTTGAGGCTGTGGCAGCTGTGAGCATGCCACTGCACTCCAGCCTGAGTGACAGAGTTAGACTCTAACTCAAAAATAAAAATAAAAATAAAATAGCAGTGTGGTAACTATAGTAGGACTGTATTTCTTTAACCTCTGAAATTTGAACCCAACGTGTTTAAACTATTTTTTGATTGGTATTTGTGTAATCTCCCCCATTCATCTGATTATAATTGGGGTGGTAGGAAATACAATTGAGGCATTAATGCTGTTTTCATTTTACTCACTTATACCCTACCAAGATTTAGAAAATCTTCAAGGACAGAGATTCTGTCTTAAATCTCTTGAACCCCTAATGTCTTCTAATACACTGCCCTGCAGAAAACTTTTGTTGAATAAATCAGTCAGGTATTAAAACCAACAGAAAATCGAGTAGCAATTTTATATTTTGACCTAATTTACCAAATATTTAGTGGGTTTTAAAATACAACTGTTGAAGCACTAACAGCTAATTAAGAAGAATTGAGAATAAAGTTATTTAGAAAAAAAAGTCAAAGAGAGACATCATCTGGCCAGGCAAAAATATTACTAGTTGAGAAAAAGTAGTACTTAAAATTGGGAGGACAGATTTACTTAAGCCAGAGTCAAAGGGATATTGTCATCGGTGTAAGCAAAAAGAAAAACTCGGGAATGTTTGTAAGAATTTAAACTTTACTGTCTTTAGTTGGGCACAGTGGTTTAAATTTGTAATCCCGGCACTTTAGGAGGCTGAGGCAGGAGGATTGCTTGAGGCCAGGAGTTCGAGGCTAGCCGTGGTAACATGGCAAGACCCCCATCTCTACAAGAAGAAATTAAAAATTGGCATGCACCTATATGAGTGTATTTATTTTTATACATGACATTTTCTTCTGAACCTTTTGTAAGCAACAAGTGTCATGGATCTTTACACCTGATTTGTATTTTTTTTTTTTTTTTTTTGAGTTGGAGCCTTACTCTGTCGCCAGAATGGAGTACAGTGGCATGCTCCCGGCCACCGCAGTCTTGACCTGCTGGGCTCCAGTGATCCTTCCACTTCAGCCTTCCAAGTAACTGAAACTACAGGCACGCACTACCACACCCGGCTAATTTTTGATTTATTGTGGAGCCGAGGTCTTGCCAAGTTGCCCAGGTGGGTTTTGAACCCACAGGCTCAGGCAATCTACTCGCCTCGGCCTCCCAAAGTGCTGGGATTACAGGCTGAGCCACTGAGCCTGGCCTGTATATTTCTTAAGAACGAGGACATTCTTTTACATAACTATACTACTGTTATTAAAGCCAGGAAAAATTGGATGGGTACACGATCTTCAGCCCATATGCAGGTTTTTTTCCCATTAATTTCTTTTTCTTTTCTTTTCTTTTTGGAGTTGGAGTATCACTCTTGCCCAAGCTGGATGGCATTGACATGCTCACAGCCACCACAGCCTTGACCTGCTGGGCTCAGGCGATCCTTTGCCTCAGCTTTCCAAGTAGCTGGAACTACAGGCATGCGCCACCATGCCTGGCTAATTATTTATTTATTTATTGTAGAGACAAAGTCTGACCAAGTTACTCAGGCTGGTCTCGAACCCCTGGACTCAGGCATTCCTCTTGCCTTGGCCTCCCAAAGTGCTAGGATTGCCAACTTGAGCCACTGCACCCAGCCTAATTTCTTTTTGAACTGTATTTTTCTGGGTTAAGAATCCAGTCTAGGATCTTGTATGACATTTAGTTTCGTAACTCTTTAGTCTTCTTTAAGGTGGGATGGTTCTTCAACTTTTCTTAGTTCTCATGACTTTAACATTTTGAAGACCATAGGCCAGTTATTTTGTAGAATGTACTTCCAGGTGAGTTTGTCTGATGTTTTTTCATGATGAGATTCAGGCTGTGTTTTTTTGGCAGTTGCTAGGTCCTCCTCAGGGCACTTGATGGCAGTTGATGTCGGTGCTGATTGTATTCATTCTGGCCTTTTGGTCAGTGTGTTTCTGTACCATCTTTTTGTAGGTGTGAAGTTACTATTTTTCCTTCTGGGTGAGTCAGTAATTTGACTCCCGCCCCCATTCCTGAAGTGTCCAGTTCTGAAGTCTTTAGGTCACACACAGGAAGGTGTGCTGAGCACGGGGAGGGCTGAGGTGCTCCCTAGGAGTGTGCATCTCTAAGGGGTGGCCTGACCGGGGTCCACCCACCCAGGGTGGGGCATCCACTTGCTGGGAGAGCTGTTTGCAGTGTGGGGCCTAGGCAGGGTGAGGAGAGTGACAGAGCTAGTTGGTTACATGTGGGGATTGAGCAGATAAGTTCACGGAGGATAAAGAAAGGTCGGACTCTCCCGTTGAAGGGAGAGAAAACTGGATGAACCTGTGGAGATGGTTGAAAGTGGATGCATCAGTGTGGACTCCTCGTCTACCCTTCCCGTCTCTGCCCCTTGTGATGTATATATGTAGGTATATAGATGCATACAAGTGCATGTAGAAGGAGAGATGAGAGTGTATGTAACACATGCGTGTATTTTAGTTCTGTTCACTGAAAGGGCCTGCCTGAGAGTGTGGTACCTTAGCAGTGATGAGCAAACCGTGTGCCCCTGGTCAAGACTTTCAAATGTCATTTTCCACCAGAAAGACTAGGACACTGTGGTTCCAGCCAGAGCTGGGAAAATACACCATGATCCTAGAATATTGTATTTTCTGGAACATCCAGAAAACAAGGAAGTGTTCAAAAAATGATGAAATGTCACAAAGTTGGGGGTAATTTGAACATCAAATTAAATGATTCTAGAAACCCATTGAATCAAATAGGAAGCAGTGAGCATGTGCAGATATAAATAAGTAAAACGAGTAAGTTGAAAGTTTTCTCTTGCTGTGTAATAAGTTCCCAGAAACTTAGCTTACAATAGTACTCTTTTTATTTCATAGTTTTGTCTGTCAGAAGTCCTGGTGGCCTCAGCGGGGTTCTCTGTTCAGGGTCTCATGAGGCTGAGTTCAAGGTGTTGGCCAGGCCAGGCCCTCACCTGGAAGCTCTGGGTAAGAATCCGCTTCCAGAGTTGTTCAGATTGCTGGCAGGATCCATTCCACTCATTTGGAGAACTGAAGTTTCCTTTTTCACTGGCCGTGGGCTGGGTGTGAGTCTCACCTCCTAGAGTCCTCGCTGGGTCCGACGCGTGGCCCCTGCACTTCGCAGCCAGCCACAGCACTTTGAATCCCTCTCACGCTTTGCGTTTCTCGACTGCCTCTTCTCCTACCAGCCAGAGAAAACTCTGCTTTGAAGGGGCTTGTGTAATGAGATTAGGCCCAGCTAGGGGAGCACCCTTTGGCCACTACATAGACACAGTTATGAGAGTAACTCTGGGGGCACAGGTCTTCAAAGCTTAAGACTTTGCCTCCCACATATGGTTTTAAAGTATCTCACTCAAAACATTTGTTAGCACTAAGGGTGAAAATAGTGACTTTGTTTCAGAGATACCTGCCAGAGCCCCCTTTAGCTGTTGGCCAGCAGTAGGACCCATGGGCCACACTTGCTTCCTGATAGGGTTTGTTGAGGGGAACCCAGTGCCTCTGGATCTCTCCGGCCAAAGATACACAGCCCAAATTTCCTTTTTCGGACTGTGAAGTTAGTGTAAGTCTCAGGAAATTCTTCTGGCAAGAAGCTGAATCTTTGCTGTCTTGCCGCATTACACAGAAAGCAGAGAACGACTTTTCTTCGTGTAGGCAAAGACCCTGATCAGTGAACCAAAGCAGCAACCCTTCAAGGCTGAGCAGCCTTTACTAGAAATGTAGCTCATTTCTTTTTTGTAATGCACAGTTGCCTTGGTAAAAATTTGATGGATTTCGTGTCTTCTTTTCAGACTCAGGTATTCGCTTTCCAGGCTTTGTTCCTTGTTTTGCCCTTTCATGTTCTAGGACAAACTGACAGAACCTTAAAACAGCTTTTTTCTTCCAGGGAACCTGTGAGCACAAAACTGTTTTCATGGTCATACTGAGATGTTATGCACGCTAGCATAATCTCCAAGTAAATCAGTACGTCTTCACAAACACTGTTTCTGCTTCCAGTATGGTAACTACTACTAGTTCTAACCCATTTTAGCAGAGTCCCAGTTGTGGAAAGAGGACGAACACCAGACACCAAAAACCCAAGACTCACTGCTTTACCGAGAGTGACTGTCCTTCCTTAAAAGTCAAAACCATGTACACAGTTGCATTCCTGCACTGTTTCTTCGAACATAGCTGTAGCTGCTCATTAGTTATATCTTTTTACCAAACCAACTTCTGTTTCACTGGGTAAGCTGGGTGATAGAGCTCCCACGATACCACTGTCTATAGCTGCTTCCAAGAGACAGCGTGCATATGCTCATCAACATGGCCCAGAGCACCAGCCTCCAGTAGCCTACAAAAGCAAGAATCAGAAGCGTACAAACTAAAAGGCATAAATATTGATTATGCCTTGTAATCAATATTTCAGTATTCTGTTTGACTTAGAAATTATCGAGGTATTCAATGATTTATCCATTATCTCAGTCCAAGGTTTTAGGTTACCTAAAGATCTCAGAAATTCTTTTCCAGCTGACATGCCACAAAGCATAATTACTGGGGAAATACAGTGTTTGCCCAAATAATGATTCAGCTTAGTTGAACATAAACTTATTACATTTTTCATAATCTTAAAAGTTATATAGATCTGTTTTGAATGTTGAAAAAGTTCTGAAGATGGTTGGTGCTGATGGTTACATAGCATTATGAATTACTTAATGCTACTCAATTGTACACTTAAAAATGGTTAAAAGACTACATTTCATGCTTTGTATATTATACCACAATAAAAAAATGTTATGAGAAGTAATGTTAGCTTATTTACGTTGTAAGCTTGAATAGCTACAGGAAAAACAAACCCAAGTAGAATAAAATGTATGTTTGTATTATACTTACTAATGATATATAAGACATGTATTTAAGGCAAAATTATTAAACTTGTCTGTTTACCAAAGATGATCCTTAATTATGTGAATATGGATTCTTTAAAATGCTCCTGAATTACCTTCTGTAAGATTTTTTAAAAATTCTGGCATATCTAAAGCATTGTATGTTCAACTTCCTTCTTTTCAGAGAAGTTTAGGAATATTCAGTGTACATATCTGTATAAAGCAGAACAGAAGGCATTTAATATGAGACTTTAGGAGTACCCTCCAAATATAGGCCATTTCACACAAAATGAGAAGTAAATGCCTTTCTCCATTATAGGTACATAGACATAGAGAGAGCTTATAGTTTCAGTTCTGTAATTTGAACTTGAGCCAAAAGCCAAGAGACAGAGTTGTACAGAATGCTGAGCAGTCTAGATATCAAAAAGGTATTTTCCCCAGAGTTCTCAACATTCTTAACTTTTGAGCTAACAACAACAGCAACAAAAAACCCTAAAAACCAGATTCTCTCATCTCTGGCCCCTAAATGGACCACAAAATCACAGAAAGGAAAAGGACCAGAGAGACAGAAGCAGGTATATCTCTGCCTTTGAGGATTCATTCTGAAGCCAAGAGAAGTGGTGCTGGGATTAGACCATCATGAGATGCTACCAGCCATGCAGCTCTGCTGACTTTCAGCTAATCACTGGGCATCTCAGAACTGTGGAAAATTACTTTGTAGCTGAAAAATGATGACTATGCAGATGTAAAAAGGAACACATGTGAAAGACTTTATTTAATTCAACAGTAAGGGAAATAGATGTTACCACTGGTCCTTATAACTTGAGTGCAGTCATGAGAAAATATTAGACAAACCCAAATGGACAGACAGTACAAACTTACTGGCATATACTTTTTAAAAATGTCTGTATCATGAAATACAAGGAAATGCTAAAGAACTGCTTCAGTCTCAAAGAGACTAGAGAAACAGGTCAGCAAAATGCAGCATGCAGATCTGAACTAAAAACCTTATTAGGATCAATGCGGAACCCCAAATGGGTCTGAGGAGTAAATGTTGGTAGCGTCTCTGTGTCAGCGTCCTGGTTTGGAGGTTGGATGGTTATTGCCTAGGAGAAGGTCTGTCTGCAGGGTGCACACTGAGGCATTCAGGGTGCTGGGATGGGTATCGGGCGGTGACTGTCTTCAGTGGTAACGTCTATTTCCCTTACTGCTGAATGAAATACAGTCTTTCACATGTGTTCCTTTTACATCTGCGTAGTCATCATTTTACAGCTTCTCTTCAGGAAAGAAGTTTGGGGCTATACATCCAGATTTTCTGTCAGTTGATGATCGCTTCGGACAAGTAGCGGGTAGAGGGACACTTTCAGACTGTAAGTGTTCTTGCTTTTCATCAAGCATTCACCGTAATGGTTTTCGTGTCCACCGACAAGCCTGTGTGAATCCGCATCAGTGTGGAGCTGCAGAACGGCGGCGTTCCTGCCTCCTTCGTTTCTTTCATCCTGGTCGGCTTTTGCTGTAAGAAATGGCCTTCCTTTCCCTATCTAGCCGTGTTGTTAGTGGGCACTCGCGGCCTACCGTTTGGCCGTCCTGATTGGTTTTGGTGCTCAGATTGTCCCCAGCTCGAGCTGTGTTTAAGGTCAGTCGCCTTGAGGGAGCTGGCTAGGGCTCCACAAGATGATTTGGCTCTGAAGTGCGAGTCGGCTTGACCCTGGAGTCAACCACTTGCCCAAGGATCTGTGTTTCTTTCGGGAGACAGCGGTGCCTAAAAAGAAGACAACTGCCGGCTCGGTGGCTCAGCCTGTTATCCTGCGCCTTTGGGAGGCCGAGGTGAGTGGATTGCCTGAGCCGGTGGGTTCGTGACCCGCCTGGGCAGGCGAGACCTCATCTCTACTATAAAAATCAAAAAAATTGACCGGGCGTGGTAGTGTGCGCCTGTAGTTCCGGCTACTTGGAAGGCTGAGGTGGAAGGATCGCCAGAGCCCAGCAGGTCGAGGCTGCGGTGGCCGGGAGCGTGCCACTGGGTGACAGAGTGAGACTCCAACTCGAAAAAAAAAGAAGCAACCACTACTAATACTTTTTGTTTCAGAAACTTGATTTTTAAAAAGCATAGTTAAAATTAGGACTTTCTGTTTGGCCACATAGTGTGTTCTCTCTAATATCTTCAAATGAGTGAATGGATACTATTGAACCTTTATTTTTGTTTTCTGTTGATAGATGAGACTAAGAGTAACTGGGAGGTGTCAGCACTTTCTCGGGCTGCCCAGAAAGGATTTAATAAAGTTGTGTTAAATCATCTGAAGAAGACAAAGAACATTTCATCAGTAAGAACTCCTTTGTATTTTCTTTACCTTAAATAATGCAGAGATCAGATTCTAACACTGGTGAAAAGTAAAAATCTTCATTTAAAAATTTGCTGTTCGGGCGTGGTAGCACACACCTGTAGTTCCAGCTACTTGGAAGGCTGAGGCGGAAGGATAGCTGGAGCCCAACAGCTTAAGGCTGCAGTGGCTGGGCGTGGCCACTGCACTCCAGTCTGGGCAACAGAGTGAGACTCCAACTCAAAAAAAAAAAATTTGTTGTTTTTGCATTCAAATTGAAGTACAGTATAATTTCAATATATTTTCAGCAGTGAAAATATAAACTATACCAACTATTTGGTTGATTGTTTTGACCTTGTTTTCCTGTTTGTTCCTACCTTCTGTTGCATCTGGTGGCTAGTAAAAGGTAAAATGGTTCATATTTGATAAGCAGATTAGAAAACTGATATGAGTGTGTAAGACTGTGGTTTACTGATTAGATCTTACATATATCTTTTTATCAACTTTTTATTTGTTCAATTTCTTGAGGTCAGTGTTTTTGAGATGAGATGTATGACATGATAGGAAAAGATGTGAATAGAAAAAATTGAGTTAGAATAGGGGAAGAAGTTATTTTTGCTATGAAGTAGAAATTGGAAAACTTTTTTTTTAGAAAATTGAGTTAGAAAGGGGAATTATTTTTGGTATGAAGTAAAAATTAGAATTGGAAAAATTTTTTGAGAAAATAGAGTTGAGGGAATTATTACCTATTTTTGTTATGAAGCAAACATTAAAATGGGAAACTTTTTTTTTTTTGAGTTGGGTCTCACTCTGTCCTCCAGGTTGGAGTACCGTATCAAGATTGTGGCTCACTGCAGCCTCAAACTTAAGCAGTCTCCCTGCCTTACCTGAGTAGCTGGGACTACAGGTGCGTGCCACCACGCCAGGCTAATTTTCTGGGTTTTTTAAAATGAGGTCTCCCTGTGCTGCATAGGCTGGTCTTGAACTCTTGGGCTCAAGTAATCCTCTCGTCTTGGCATCCCAAAATGTTGGGATTACAGTCATGAGCTGTCGTGCCCAGCCTGAAAAACTTTATTTTACTTTAGATTCAGGGGATACACGTGGGCGTGTTGTGTAGTGGTGGGGATTGGGTCCATTCGTTGGACAGTGAACATTGTGTCCTGTGGGTAGTTTCTTTTTTTGAGTCGGAGTCTCACTGCATTGCCCAGGCTGGAGTACAGTGGCATGATCACTGCCACCGCAGCATCAACTTGCTGGGCTCTGGCAATCCTTCCGCCTCCGCCTTCCAAGGAGCCGGAACTACAGGTGCACGCTACCACGCCCTGCTGATTTTTTGCTGTATTTGTAGAGACACAGTCTTGCCAAGTTGGCCAGGCGGGTCTCGAACCCGCGGGCTCAGGCAGCCCACTCGCCTCGGCTTCCCAATGTGCCTGGATGCCTGGCTGAGCTACTGAACCCGGCTGGGAGTTTCTGAGCCTCACCTCCTCCCTCCCTCCCACTTGTTGCCGTCCCCAGTGTCTGTTGTTTCCGTCTTTGCCACTGTTTAGCTCCCACATACGAGCGAGAACGTAGTGTTGGTTTTTTCTGTTTCTGAGTCAGTCACTTAGGATGATGATAAACGGCTCCATTCATGTTGCCGCAGCGGACATGACTTCATACTTTTTAAGGGTGCTGAAAAACTTTTAATGTCTAAAACTGATAGTGCAAACCCTAGGATAAATTCTTCCCACCTGATGACTTCTGGCAGCTTCTGACTGAGAGATGGCAAGCCGGGCACAGTGGCTCACACCTGCAGTCCCAGCACTCTGGGAGGCCTAGGCGAGATTACCTGAGCTCAGGGGTTCGAGACCAGTCTGAGTCATGTGGTGAGACCTCGTCTCTACAATAAAACAAAACATTAGCCGGACATGGTAGCATATGCCTGTGGTTCCACCTACTTGAAAGGCTGAGGCAGAAGGATTGCCTGATCCCAGCAGGTCGAGGCTATGGTGGCGTGCTCACCGCCACTACGTCCTCAATCTGCTGGGCTCAGGTGATGCTTCTGCCTCAGGCCACCAAGTAGCTAGAACTATAGGCATGCACCATCACGCCTGGCTAATTTTTCTTGATTTATTGTAGAGACAACGTCTCGCCAAGTTGCCCAGGCTGATCCCAATCTCCTGGACTCAGGCAGTCTCTCTCCTCTGCCTCCCGAAGTACTGGGATTACAGGCATGAGCCACTACGCCTGGCATCATGTTTAGTATTTTTAAATAAAATAACTATTTACATAATTTCTATGCTTTAATTTCTAATGCAGTTAATATTGATAAATATGACTCATAAAACCAAAAGCTCTTTGCAAGGAGTGGAGGGACGGGGGGGTGGGCTTTGATATTTCTTAAGAGTGTAAAAAAGATTCTGCCAAAACGGTTGGACCTGCTGGCCTAAGAAATGTACATCTTACAGCAAGACTGGGAAAGATTGAACTTTTTTTATGAATTTGTAATAAATTAATAGCACTAATATGTAGGATATTATTAACCACTAGGAGACATTAATAATAGAGTAGCAAAATAGTTTTTCTTTCCTCTTTAACTTTTAACCTGTGTGTCATCATATGTATATGATTGTTCACATTTGCAGAATGAATCACTATCCTTAGAAGAAATAAGAACTAGAGTAGTGCAAATACTTGGATCTCTAGGAGGACAAATAAACAAAAATCTTGTGACAGGTAAATGTTTCTTTAAAATAAGTAACTTCTGTAAGATGTATTTGTACTTTAATGTGGATATATACACACCATAGTATATTCGGATGTTTATTCTTATATTCCATTTACATCTTTTCAAATAAGATTATAGAGAATAATATTTTGACTAATGAAGTGTTTTCGCTGAATCCATGCAATTGGAATAATTCAAACAGTAGCACAGCAAAGTTCTAGCTTGATTTATTAACCATGTTTTTCATCTTGAAACAATCTAATTTGACACTCTTTGCTATATTAAACATGTCAGGATAATTCAAAGTTAATCTTTTAAAGATTCAATATTAGCCGGGCTCGGTGGCTCAGCCTATAATCCCGTGCTTTGGGAGGCTGAGGTGAGTGAATTGCCTGAGCCTGAGGGTTCGAGACCAGCCCGGGCAACTTGGCAAGACCTCATCTCTACACTAAATCAAAAAATTAGCTGGACGTGGTAGCGCGCGCCTGTAGTTCCAGCTACTCTGAAGGCTGAGGCGGAAGGATG